CCCCCTACTTGGACTCCCTGTCTTACTGCTTCAACCGCCCTTATCAAGTCGTTGATGTAGATCTTGAAAAGAGTGGGTGACATCGTACAGCCCTGTGCGACTCCATGGAGTATATCCACGTACTTCGAGATATCCCCATCCAACATCACTGCACTTCTTGTGCATTCTGTCATCTTTTTCAACATCCTCCACATTTTCCCCCGGATCCCTATGTCCCACATCCTTTTCCACAATCCAATGCGCCAAACGGTGTCGTAGGCTTTTTGTACATCTAGGAAGAAACAGTATGTCGTACGCCCGGCGTCTTTCCTACCTTGGATAATTTTACTCAACGTATATACATGGTCTACACAACCACGATCTGGTCTAAATCCAGCTTGTCCTTCGCTAATCTTTTGTTTCCCTCCAACATGTCTCCCATTCTATTGATTATCATCTTGCCAAAGAGTTTCCCCACTGTGCTCAGCAGGGTTATCCCTCGATAATTCCCCGGGTCAGTTCTATCCCCCTTTTTGAACAGATTCACGNGGGGGGGGGGGGGGGGGGGGGGGGGGGGGGGGGGGGGGGGGGGGGGGGGGGGGGGGGGGGGGGGGGGGGGGGGGGGGGGGGGGGGGGGGGGGGAGGGGGGCATTGGGTGGCTCGCTCTCGTGTGAACGGCCGGTGGTGGTGGCATTCCTTTGCTTCGCTGCTGCAGAGGGTGCAATGTGCTGTAGGTGTCAAGTGCTGGTAGCAGCAGCAGCAGCAGCAGCGATGTGACGGACACTTGCAAGACGCCAGGAGCGCGGCCCGTAGTCTGCAGAAAAATGGAGATGCGCGGGGGAAAGTCACTAGTTTGTAGAGGTGGCTACCTGTACTTGGAGAGGCGTCGCATGTGCACACTGCACGGCGGTGGAAAGTACAGAAGCCAAAAAAGCACCGGTAGACGTAGTCAGCGCTGGCTAGCGTGAACTCTACAGCAGTGGTAGCAGCAGGCCTGTGCGTGTCGTACCGTTAGGAATGTTCTGTTTGGTTGGCCAAGGTCGTGATACTGCTGTAGCAGCCGAGATTTAGATGGTCCCTAGCAAAGCGCACCAGAGTGCGAGTCAGCCCCCAGAGAGGGCGGACATCTGGCGGGGCTGATTGTACTTGCAGAGTTGGGAGATTCGTTCGAGTATGTAGATGACACCGGTAGGATCACTCTCCCGGTAACGTGCTCGGCAGTCAAGGGGGTGTACTGTGGTTCGATCCCCCGCGCGCAAAATATGTCGTGTCGAACAAAGTTGTCTTGTCGTCCCTTTGATGCCGCTGGCCTTATCCCCCAGCACCACATGTAGTACCGTCACTCTCTCTCTCCTATCACCTTTCGTGATGCTACTCCCGTAGTTTGGTACGACGCCTATGACGCCACCCCTCCCGTAATTCATTCGCGCACGTTCGTGCTCCTCCCTCCCTGCACCGGATGTGTTTTCCCGTCTTTGCTTGGGCGTTGCCGGGCGCGATTTTTGGCCTCGGCGACCCGCGAACCTCAGGACTCGGAAGGGTCTTTCCAGCTGTACATCGACAAGGGGAGGCTTGGTGACGAGTTTAAGGCAAGTGGGATGGATCAAAGGGCTTGACTGTGTCCACCGCGACAAGAAAAACCACCAAGACTGCTGCTACTGCTGTGTTGGCTCGTTTTCCGGCGGTTGGTGTGAAACGAGGTCCACCTTCCCTCCCCTCCCCTCCCCTTCCCTTCCCGATGTCCTTTTCGTCAACAGTCAAAGACCAGAAAATTTTCCCATATGTTAAAACGACAAGACGATTTGACCTTGCTGTGTCTACCGTGCTCGTTAAAGCTGTTTTTAGTTGTGCTGTCGGTATACATTGATGCCTTCTTCCCCTCGCTGCCTGGGGAAGGGTTTGCTTAGGCATGACCCATAGCGAGGGGGGGGTCTTTCCAGCGAGCAGGGCTAGACTCACCCTCAAGGGACCAATACCTTCTTGCTGCGGCGCACCCGCCGCGAGGCGTGCGTAGTGGTGGAGTTGGGTCGGCACTGGTGCGTCAGGTACAAAGGTGCAGATGCCCGGGCCTCCAGGCCGGCGGTGTAGGCAGCAACGCCCATCTCATCTTTGTGCGCGGAGGCAGACGTCATCAGAAAGGTGGACGGGCACTATGTACACGGCCCTAGGTTTGCTAGAGGGAGCTGTAACGTCTCAGTAACCTGGCTTTGCCATCAGAGGAGGAGGAGACAGGTGGTGACGAGCTGATTGGGCTGGTTGATCCTTCGGCGCGAGAATTTCCAGACCAATAACCCTAAGTGCAACGAGGGAGAAAGCGAGGAACCGACTGGGAAGGATAGCAACGAGAGTGTGTACGAAGCGGAGCGGGTCGAGTTTGGTCGTGCTAGGACTGGCCACAGCGGCACCGGAGCAGCGGCACCGGAGCATGCGGACGGCATCGAACCGTGGCGCACGGACAAGCGTCTCTTGTGTTGTCAACTATTTTCCATTTTTTTCCTGAATATAGGTGTTGGGTGTGTGTGATGACGTCACTGGTTGTGTAGAGAGAGGCGGCAGAGATGGCGCGGATAACCCGGGTGCCTTAATTGTGCACCTGCATCGTGGAAGACCCCTTCAATGTGGAACGATTCCTAGTCAGTGTCGATGTTTACACTGTGCCTAACACAGATGATCTGGATAGATTCGGGTGATTGTTAATTGCAATGATGGCTTTGGTTGGGTGTTCTTCTTTGTTGTATGTCCACGGACTCACTCTGACAGCACTTCAGACAGCAGCTGCATGCCCCGAGCTCGTGTACCATGCACCATGGTGTTATTATTGTACAGACAGCACTTCAGGCAGCAGTACGCTGTAGTCGACAAACATTCATTTTGGTTGAATGTGGGACAAGGGGGGTGATGCTGCTGCTGTAGTCGATTTGTAGTGTGTTGGCGTGTAGTTCAGGTGTGAGCACGCAATNGTGTACCATGCACCATGGTGTTATTATTGTACAGACAGCACTTCAGGCAGCAGTACGCTGTAGTCGACAAACATTCATTTTGGTTGAATGTGGGACAAGGGGGGTGATGCTGCTGCTGTAGTCGATTTGTAGTGTGTTGGCGTGTAGTTCAGGTGTGAGCACGCAATTGTGCTGCAGGGATTGCAGGTGTACCTCCTCGGGCTTGCGTACCCTTTCCTTGCTAACAGTGTGTGTGTTCTTTAGATCTTCTGATGGCTCTAGCATTTTTGTGACCACGGACCGAGTCTTTGCTAGATTTTGGGATTAGCAACTGACAAGAGTTTAATGTGAAGAAAATAACAACAAAACATGAAACGACGGAGACCTTCCCTCCCCTTCCCTCCCGGATATTATCACCACCTACGTACCACGATCAGGATCTCAAAACGTGGACCGATGCGGGGGACATCGTGGGCGCCAAGGGTACGGTTAAGCGCACCGATAAGGGCGAGCTCTCGGTATACGTGAAGAGCTGGGCCATGCTCTCCAAGAGCGTGCTGCCGCTGCCCGACAAGTTCCACGGACTCAAGGACACTGAGAAGCGGTACCGACAGGTGATTGGCCCTCGATTAGTTGCTGTTGTTGTTGCTGCTGTTGTTGTTGTTGTCGTTGTTTTTGTTGTCGTTTTGTTTTGTTTTGTTTTGTTTGTTGTGCTCGTTGTCGTTGTGAGGGCTGTTTTTTGTTATTCCAAGCGTGAGCAACAGGAGTAGGAGTACCGGTAGCTGTACCGACGATGATAAAGATCGAAAATGACATCAACATCAACGATGTCGAGGTAGTCATACAGGAGACAATGACGATGACGACGGCGACGGCGACAACACCACCATCAACACTAACTAACAACAACAAACCGATGGTAACCAGTACTGCAGCAGCACTGACAACACCAACAATAACAACATCACCTGCAGCAGCAACAGCAGCCACCACTACTTCCACCAACACAACAGCAACCACCGATCGTTGCCTGTACACCCCTCTCCCAGAGGCACGTCGACATGATGGTCAACCCGGCTGTCCGGGACGTGTTCCGGATGAGGGCCAAGGTGACATCTTTCATACGACGATCTCTCGACGACGACGACTTCCTTGAAGTGAGTGCTGCTATTTTTTTTGCGTGTGTTTTTTGCTTTTTGCACCGACCGCGCGAGCCAGCTGACTAATGAAAAGACGCCAGTCGTGGGCTGACAACAGAAAACGCTTCTAAAAATCATGATCTGGACCCAGTGTGTGTGTGTGTGTGTGTGTGTGTGCTTTTATTATTAGCATCGACCGCGCTAACCGGCTGACCAATGAAAAGACGTCAGTCTCAGTGCGGAGGGAAACACAAAATGTTTCTATAGTCCACTATCTGGTGTGTGTGTGTGTGTGTGTTTTTTTTTCCGCTACTGCTGGGGCAATGCACTCTGTTTTGTCACAGTAAATAATAGCATTCGATAGAACCCGAAACGCCGCTTGGTCCGAATGCGTTTCGGTCTGGTTTTGGTTGTTGGTTGGGAGTCAGCAAGCCCCTGTTGTCCTCCAAAGCAAAGGATCGTGGCCTGTTGCGAAAAGGAAAAGTGTCGAAAATTCGCAAATGGTACACGAGTAGTCATTGTCGCCTTGTGGTGTTGGCAACGTCTGGTGCGTTGATGGTAGTCCGACCCTATGTTTTTGGGATGCAGCAGTGATCCAGATTATAATTTTTCGGTCGCTTTCTCAGAGGGTCGCAAGTGCTCGCAAGCTCCTTCTTTTTGTGTGTTTTTTTTTTTTGTTTGCAGCGGTTACAGCAGGGCCACCACAAGTTTGGTGCAATCCCAATGCGGATGCACGATCAACTCCGGCGCGCGGGAGTAGTTTTTGAGGCCATGCATCATGCGCATAGCTCGCCCCAATGTGCCGCATGCAGCCATTTGCGACCACTGAACCCGTGTCCCCTATCCCCTGGTGTGTGTGGCGTTCTCCAGATCGAAACCCCCGTGCTGCAGTCCGTTGCCGGCGGTGCGGCAGCCAAGCCGTTCGCCACCCACCACAACGTGTTGAACATGCCGCTAACCCTTCGCATTGCCACGGAGCTGCACCTCAAGGTAGGTCGTGGTACCAATGCACGCACGTGTAGAAGAAGCGTACAAGGTATAAATGGGATGGCAACGAAGTACAAACGTATGCTCGTGCTCGGGCATGAACGTGTGGGAGAGCATCTAGACGCGTGAGTAGATTCGCGAAAAGTACTAAAGGTATCTCCCACGAGTCTGTCGCTGTCTCAAGACATGGTGCGGTTGCACCGTGAGACGCGACTATCAACCCTATTTCTTGCTATCACTTCGGCCTTTGGGGGTACATAGAGAGAGGTTGCCCTTTCCCTTCAAAGCGCAGTGCTGTTGCTGATGCCATCGCCCAAACTGTAGGTCCACGCCATCTCGATGCCTGTGTTTCCTCTTGAATTGTTTTACGCTCATCTCTTCGTATATAATATGCATCTATATCTCCTGTGCGGTGCCCGAACCCTCATCTTCCGCGCTATGATTATCCCTGTTTTCTTGGGTGCGGTTTCGTTTTGTTTGCGATGTTGCCACTCGTAAAAACCCTACCCCACCCCGCCACAGCGCCTGGTCGTAGGGGGGTTCGACAGAGTGTACGAGTTGGGCCGCATCTTCCGGAACGAGGGCATCAGCACCAGGCACAACCCGGAGTTCACCTCGGTAGAGGTCTACCAGGTGCGCCTTGAGACTTGTCCGGACTAGAGGGGGGGGGGGGG